ATGCCTCTGAGAAAAATATTAACTAAAGTATTTTTATTTATTTTATTAATTTTAATTTAAACTTACTAATTTCTTTTTTACTATATTATTCTTTCTTCATATTTATTGAGTAAGAATAAAGAGATAAAAATTAGTAATTAATTATATTTTGATTTTCTAAATAACAACTAATTTGAACCAATCATTTTCTATAAGCATGTGAATTGAAATGGACCAAAGAAAATAGTTGTCCGCTTTTACTTATCTACTATATTAAAAATAAATATTTATTTTTACTTGTTCAACTTAAAAAATTAAAAGATAATTTATCACTTAGTTTATAGTTCATTCTTATTATAAATTACTATCTTTTTCCAAAATATTAATTTGATTATATTTAAAGATTGATATAATAAAATTGTTATTCTATTTATTGCTCCTCATAGAATATGTCAGATTAATATTAAACAAGTAAAAATGAACTAAGAAAATACTTTGTCACGAATATTCAAATTTCTACCGTACTGAACGAATGTTTGTCTAGTTATGTCTCTTGACTCAATTTCCTCGTCCCATTACCCCCAAAATAGAATACACTGATTTTCAAATACTAAATTACTACATTTTCAATTATGCCCTTTTACTAAGGAAGCTTCAACCTTATAATGGTTAAGAATAGAAAAACACTAATTAGATATTGTCAATATCCCACGTTCATTTTTACTTATTTATTATTTTAAAAAAAGATTTTTATTTTTATTTTTTAATATATATATAAAAAAAGATAATTATTTATTTCTTAAATTATTTTTCAAGACTTAATACTCAACATCAATTAATAAGGACAATATAATAAAAATAGTCATACAATCATTATCTTTTAATTGAATGTGTCAAATTCAAATATAACAAATTGTTTATTTTAGAATCAACTCCAACACTTTTATTTCCTCCGTTCACTTTTTACTTGTCACTAATTCTTAAATGAATTTTCATTTTTACTTGTCACTTTTAACATATCAAAAAGAGACAAAAAAAATTTCCATGTTTTACCCTTAGCATTAAATACTATTTTTCATCATTGTTTTCTTAATGAATGTACCAAGTCAAACAGTGATAAATAAAAATGAAGCGCAAGAAATAGTACTTGATGCTTTTTAGGAAATTTAATCAAAACTAAACTAAACTGGTTTTATGAACGTCTTAAAGAGATAACGAAAAACGACAAAAGGATAAAGATAACAAAAAATGCTTTGAAATAATTGAATTTGATTGATTAATTCTGTGTTGATGTGATGATATCCGACATTTTACAAATTATACAGAGAAATTGGTCATTAGCGAGCTTAATCCACTATCTAATCATACTAAAAGTCATATTCCTAAATATGAGATCAAAATTATGTGATAATTGCTGCGCATCCGACCACTTCATGGTATATGTAAAGGGGAGTGTTTTTTAATAATATACTTTTAGAAAATAATAATTTATATTTGACTAATTAATTTTTAAAATATTTTTAAAATAATAATTAATATTTAGCTAAACTTTTTAAATTTACTTTTAAATTTATTTTCTCAAAATCGCTTTTTAAAAAATAGTTCTGAAAAATAGCTCATGAAAAACAGATTCTGTACTTTTTGAAAGAGCTTATTTATTTCATAAAAAACTCAAATAATTCAAGAGCTGACGTGAGGATTAAACACTCCATATGTCGGACATTAAAATTGCCTAAATTTGAACTGACAAGGTTAATTAAGCCATGCATGTTCTTAATCTTGATTTATTATGTATATAGTCTGTTAATGTTCCATCAAAGTTAAGATAATTACTGATTTATGACCATTCTATTTCCACTACTTCCTAATTAACCTAATTCATTTGACTATGTTAATCAATGATTACACCATTTAATCATCAATTAAACAAAATTTCTATAATTAGCAACCATTGTCATTTGTCAGAGACAAAATTTCCCCCACCAACCGATGTGGGATAATTCAACATTTCTTTGTCCACCAACATGGGTTGTGGTGCATTGGTGGGAGTGCTTCACCCTTAACCAGAGGTCTCGAGTTTGAGCTCTGGGTATGGAGAAAATCATGTTGAGAGCGCCACCCCCGAATGGGCCCTGCAGAGCGCAATCCGGATTTAGTGGAGCTCCAATGTGGGCTCTAGACACCGAGTGAGATACCAAAAAAACAAAACATTTCTTTGTCCATTTTATCGTTAAGTAATTCTTTCAATTTTAATTTTTTTTTACCTTTATCGTTAAGTAATTCTTTCTTAGACGTATTAGAGTACTACGCTAGTAGTTAAATTTAATTTTCTTAAGCATATTAAGAATTTAACTTGATAAATAATCATTTAATGAAATGTTTTTCTTGGGAGTGCAAAATATAAATTGAACTTGTAAAAAGAAACAAAGGGAGGGAGTAAACAATAATCAACCATCAAATTAAGGATATGGTGCAGTGGATAGGAATGCTCTTCTCTTTATTAGAAATTTTAGATTCGAACCCGGGATATTTTTAGATGTAGAGAGCTCTACCCCCAAATAAGGCCTATCCGACACGATCAATATAGGTACGTCCAAACATCAGATGAAAAAAAAAATAATCGTCAGAAAATTGACAATGCCATATATTTTAAAAGTTATTATATAGATTGTTATTACGTCCGCAACTCCGCATCATAGACTGGATGACTATCAAACTCAAATTAAGTTAACAAACTTAATTATAATAAATTATAATATTAACAAACTTAATTATGGTGTGTTGGCAGTCATTGGTCTTCATATTCTTAATGTGTACATATGCACATGGAGGGGTCATCTTTATATTTAATATTTTAATGATAAATACCTAGTCATAAAATTAAACCTTTCCTACTAATAAAATGCAACTAGATTTTTAACTCTAGTCATATTGTTTATTGTCTTCTACTAAATAAAATAAATATATAACTAGTAGATGAGATTGAGATTAATTAACATTTTTTAGGACTAATAGTTTTTTCAACGTGTAGCTATTGGTGAGTAAGATTGAGAATTTGTTTAATCGATAATAATAAATTAGTAAATTATATCCATAAATGAAAAAGTCCAATGTATTTGTCGAATATAAGCTTGACGGATAATTTATTTATTTTTTACCAATTAAACACAGACTTCTCCTTTAAAAATTAACGCCAAAGTCGTAGGCACAAGAATGAATATTGGAATATACTTGCAGTTTTTTTTTCTTTTCTAGTGATGTCGTAAACATTACCAGCAAAATTATATAAATGTAACAACATTTTAGTTTCAAAACATAGCGGAATATATTGTATTTATGCACATAATAATAGTGAAATACATTGTATTTGCTTGCATAACAAGTGTTTATGCACATATACAACATCTCTATCGCGGAATACAATATATGTATCTACACGCATAATAATAATAATTAAAAAAAATACATTGTATCCGCAATATATAATATAATATATAATATATGTCCGTCCACATAATAAGTATATCTCTACGTATATAATAGCTCTATCTAATTATATCGGTGTGAATAATAAGTGTATTTACGTATATCTGCTAAAATCCCCAAACTATCGCTATATTATATATGTAATTTTTAAACTATCATCATACAAAATAATTAGAGGGCTGAACTACTAGTACAATAATTTTATTGTTACACCATGAGAATAATTAGGTACTGGTGGTTCCATTTATTAATTAAGGTTAGTAAAGTCAGTAATTTGGTATAGACTAAAAAGGGATGTAAGCAAGCCTATGTCATAGCCTAGCTAGTATAGGATACCCTCTATATATGTTTCTCTACTATTTGATACTTATATAATTATATGATCACACACACTTGCAAAAAAAATATGTTATTATACCAACCATGGTTGTTGTGATGGAGTGATAACTACTCCTTCATCCTTAATTAAAGGTTTCGGGTTTGAGTTTTCTTGGATACAGAGTCACCTTTATTAGGGAGTGTTAAATTTAGTCGAACTCTAATATGAGTACCAAACATCGAGCAGGAAAAAGATATTATTGTGCTTTTCCTCCTTGGGTTAGGTATTACTATTATTTTTGTTTTCGACCTCCAGGAAGATGGAGAATAAAGGAAGTGATATAAAATAGATGACATTATGGTGGCTAAATATGTATTATAAATGATTGATGCATCTAAGTGATAATACTTTCTCTTTATCGTTTATTAGTAATTAAGTGGGTTTTTTTTTTTTATAATTATTTTCTATTCGATGTCTGATTCTTGTATTGGAATTCAATTATTCCAAATTCCCCAATGTTATTCCACTTCCACGCTTGCAACTTCCTTTTTATGCTTCATTTTCAATAAATAAATAAAATTGATCTCTTTGATTTATTCTTTTTATTATATGTTAGTTTTCAATTTAGAATTTCTATTGATATCACTCTAGTTTAGATATTTTTCCAATGATGATATGCCAAAAAATGTTCCATTTGTACTATAATGAGTATTTGTGATTTGTTTTCCAAATTAAAGAAAATAGAGTATCCCTTTTACAAATTTAGTATGTTTTAGCCTATAGGTGCAATGCATTCTTACGTCTTTTATTTTCTGAAGTAAGAAAAAAAAAATTAGTTTGTATGTTCGTGTACATATTAACATGTTTATATAAATATATATACATTTTTTTCTATTAATTTTATAATTTTCTACAATTTTTAATGTAATTTTTATATATTTTTATTATTTATATGTCTATCTTATTAATTAATAAATCGTCCATAAAACTTAAGCCTTCCTCTGTTAGATAACGCCTTGCTTCACGCCCATACTTGTTAAAACATTGATCCTAATATATGTTTGAGAGAAGAAATGACAATTTTTCAATTTCAACTAATCTTTAGTTAATAGTCATGAACATTTAATTAATATTTAGGCTAATACCATGATATATAAATACACATAGATAGTAAAAGGGAAGAAAAAAATAGAAGAGAAAAGTCATACATACAAAGTTATATACAAATCCCTCTTTCACAAATTTATTTTCATCTAAGAAAAGTCTTACTTACATGCCACTATTTCATACTAGTAGCTAATACATTTCTTTCCCTAAAAAAAAAAAAAAAACTGAAAAATATTTTTACATAGTGAGAGGAATTAAATAGACTTTTTTTTTTTATATAGTTCCGCTAACTTAAAGCAAAGAGTACTTGAGCTTAAACTGACAAATCAAAGTCACTTTCGGAATCATACTTTCTATAACTAATATGTATTTAATCAAACGAGAACGCTCAGCCTCTATAGTTGACCAACATGGACAAAGGCACCAAACAAAGCCCCTTCTTCTTGAGGTCCATATAACTTTTGTTCTTTTCATCAAAACACAGAGTACTATTTCTTTCTATTGTCTCCATTTCTTGTTGTTGTCTAGAGCCACCTTCAAATCCCTAACCAATAAATAAACAAATATTGAAAATAAAATAAAATATTAGTTTCTACTTATTTTATTTTTAAAAGATTCATATTAATATGTCACAGAATTTAGAGAGAACATTAATTAATTACCAGAAAATTTCCATTATTGTTGTCTGTTCTTCGGTAATTGATGTCCATTTGCTTATTAAAACTTACCTATTAAAATCAAGCAAGTATCTCAATACAAAATATTATGCAAGACCAAAGACCAAAAAGAAGAAAACTAATGAACCATAAATAGGGAAAGATTGTTCAATACTAGTGCTGGTGAAAGGTAATAATTGTATGATAGTAAATCTATTTATTAAAAGATTGGCACTCTAACGGTTAGACATGACCACCATTATAAAAAATTTAAAATATATAAAATAAAAATACACCACACAAAAAACTGAGAAAATCATCTATTAATTTCTGTTAAATGACCCTTAAATGCCAAAATATGCCGTGGATTATGATGACACTATATGTACTGCTCCCTCAACTTTTTATGGAGGGTTCCTTAATTTTTTTTTAAAAATATCATCCGATTTTGATCTTCACGAAGGATTCAGAAAAGAGTCCGCACCTTAAGGGATGATGCATGTGATGTAAACCTCCTATCCTAATTAATACAAACATTTAATGTCTGCTTTTACGGCTTCAACTTATAAGTTACACAAAAACAACCTTATTGTTGCTGCAAGCTCCCTTTGCTACTATTATAAAATAAAAAGGTGAAAAAAGAATGATACCTTAGGACTATTGACAGGTGAGCTAGCAGTGTCTTCTAAATCAGGATCAGAGATTTTCTTGTTCCTTGGTTTCTTCAAATTCAATCTCTTAAGAAATGGTGACCCATAATTATTGTTGTTACAATTGTTCCAAACAGCATGAGAAGCAGCATCAGACAACAAAGAGGGACTTCCAAAACTATCACAATATGTGCTATTTTCACTATTATTGTTATGTTGTTCCATTGAAAAATCCTCAAAATAAGTTGTCCATCCACTTTCTTCTTGTGCATCATTATGATCACTTGTTTCTTCTTGATTCTTATATGAATCCATTTTCTTATAAGACCAAATTAAAGTGCTTCAATTTGGGGAAATATAATTGTTTGATTATTGAGGGAATTTGATGACTTGTAGGCTAAGGGAAGCTAAGAAGGCTTATAATTTATAAACAATAGATTATAACATGTTCAGCCAAAAAAAGGTGGGGGCTCGTGACGTGGAATCTCGATGGTTGGGCCAAGTGGGGTAGTTAAGGAAGTTAAAATGAACCGTTTTAATTTATTAAAAGAAAATTAAACATGCAATTATTTTATTTTAGTCGGAAGTCTTTCGGAAATAACTCATCTGTCTTAAAAATCAGGGATAAGGTTTGAAAACACATCTATATCCTCCCATTTTGGATATGCACAAGTAGATACTTAAACTTGTATATAAAATTGAAGAAATAAACATACACATATATTCTACGTGACATAATACACGTAGGACGTTACACAAGATGCAAATTGTCATGTAGAATGTCGTCTATTTGCTTAACTTTATACAAATTTAAGAGTCTGCTTATACATACCTAAAGTTGATGAGCATAAACATTAGAGATATTTATATATTATACCTAACTTTTAAAAGTTATTTTTTCTTTTAACTCCTTGCTCATTCAATCTCAACTACACAAAGAGGAACAAAGTAAGTAACTATCATTTTTATCATGTTACTAATTTATATTTATCATTACAAATACACCTAAGTAATTACTCTATCCATTTCATTTCATGAGTTGTCTTAATTTATTTGAGCAAGAAATTCAAAAAAAGTAATTTTCTTTTTGAATTTTATGATCTTAAAACTTTAAATATGTATATATAATATAAAAATATGTTCGTTCAATTATGTGATCTTAAACATGTTAGGTTTGATGTCGAAATAAAAAATGTTATAAATAGAGGTACTTATTTATAACATGATTGTACAATTTTTTTTTGTAAAGTGCATAGAAATTAAGCTCAAAAAATAAAAAATAAAAACAGAAAAGAAAAAAGGGGGAAAAGAACGTGCAGAAAGGAAAATAAAATTCAAGGAAGATAGATGATAATGGTTGACTTGTTGGTTTTGTATGTATTTGCTACTGTACTAAATTAATGAAGGAAATTATTTTCTTTTGGTCACCCACTTTTTGTCTCAACAGAAAAAAGTGTTAATGCCATTGAGACTTTTTGTTTCTTCCATTATTATTATATATATTCCTACTTCTTGAACTTTTAGTAGTTGGTGAACGCATTAATTAAATTAATTACTTGTGAACAGGTGCATGTACTTGGAAAGGAGTTTTAAGGAACGATAAATTGTTTTCGTCTGATCGATAGTTTTAGAGGAACGATAAAGTTGTTTTCGTCTGATCGATAGGTCTTAGTTAGATTTGAGCCATGAAAATAACTAGTACTAATGTTTGCATCATGTATATTATCTATATGGTCACACTCTCATTGCCCTTTTCGAACCTTACGTGAATGTGAGATATTTTGTGCATCGAATTGTTTCTCCTTGTGCATAAACTAATATAATATGCTCTAGGTGCTCCATGTCATGATGATCAACCATGTGTGTTTTCTTAATTGGTTTAGGATAATTTAACTTAGCTAAGGAGAATGTTTGTCAGTTTGATTAGGAGGGTAGATTAGATTAGATACATGACTTTACTTAATCAAAATATATTAATTATTATGATGACCAAATAAGAAGGGGCATTAGTTTATTGAGAAACATTAGTTAGTTATTATATATGTTGAAATGGCAAGCAACATTTCATGTATGACTTTGGTTATTGTCAAAAAAATTGACTTGTACTATTCCTATTGATTAAATATTAGACAAACAAATAATTATGCTAAACTATATGTTTAACTTCTGTTAACCCCTGGATACTCGAAAGAGTCATCTAAATCCCCGCTAAATATAGTACTATAATTTTAATTTTATTAAAAGGAATAAATTAAATTAAATTAAATTAAATTCAGTGAGCTCCCTCAATTCTGATCCAATCTGCAAGATGATGACTGGAATCCTGTTGTGTAATTTAAATATAATGTAAATTTAATTACTAATTAGAAATTGATAATCAAGCATAATTGGTATACTTTGTTCAGTTTAGTCGCATGAGGCTTGTCTAGTGTAGTTCTGTCTCTCTAGTATAATTTGTGAACTATTATATTAAAGCGAAATTTACTCTAAGCTCTGTTAGGCATTTGATAGTTAATCAATATAAAATAGTTAGGCATTTGATAGTTAAACAGTGACCATGAATAAGTTCATTTTACACAAATCTTTTTTTTTTCCCATAAATGTCCAAAATAATTATTAAATTATTCTTAATTTTGTGAAAGATAACGAATTTTCTTCTTTAAGTCCCCGCAATATGCGGAGTCTAATAAAGGGTAAGAATAGGACCACTTCAATTCCAGTTTTGACCTGGCTAGTGTATATTGGGTGTATTTTACTGTATATGTTATGTATAACACTTGTACAATATACTGTGACATGCACACAGCATACAAGTACATACACCGATGTACAAGTGTGTATAACCAACCATATGTTATCATGTGTATATCATATACATGTCTTGTATATTTTGTGTATGCCAATGTATATTATTATATATCATGAGTATGTCAAGTGTATATATTGACGTACATATGACGATATATACAGTACATGGAGAGAAGAAATTGTGGAAGCCATGAGAGAGAACTTCGATGAAAAAGAAAATTACGATGGATAAACAAAGTAGGATAAATTACTTATATACACAACTTTACTTACCTTATTCTCCATTTTTCCCTATCTTTTTGAAATATTTCATAAATCCCTTATTTCTCCCAATTCTTAAAATTTGCAGATACATAAGATCCACCAGCCAAAACCCACGTTTATTACTCCCCTTTTAACTCCTTTTTTCTCTCCCTAAATTCACTCCACATTCTTAGTAGTTACAATTTTCAAATTAATTTGATTTTCAAAAGGATTCTCTCTCTCAAGTCAATCAATTTCAAACATGTGAATAGGTAGGGTTTTGTCTTCTCCATTGTTGTCTTCTTCCATTTTTTTTCCATAATTTTTTCCTAATACATATGGGACAGGCCCCTTCATTTAGTATTGGGGTTAATCAACTAAATTCTTCTGATACTAATTTGAGATCTTGGGGTCCATCTCGTCCTCCTCCAAAATGTAGGTGATGGTAGACTTGCTATGACAATGTATTGTCAAGATTTTTATTGTGCATCCAATGGACTACCACAAATGCAGCAACAATCTAATACATTATCGATATGTTGAGAAGGATAAGGAGAAGCAGATCAAATTGTTGGGTTTTTTTTTTATTTTTTCTTATTCATCTTTTTTGATATACATGGATTCATATTTTTAATGTATCTAGTTATTTTTATTAAATTAATGTATAATGCTTTCTTTTCAACATTATGATACATTACAATTTCATCATGCTCAATAAATCGTGTTCAAATTGTATAATCTACCATGTATCAATTGTTTGTTATGTATCTGTAGTGTTTAATTTTTGTTTAGACTTATTTAAATTAGAAGATTAAGTTCATGTACACATTACTCAATAAATACACTTGATACATAAATCATATTATTCTATAGATAAAACATCGTGTATCAAATTAATTGATAAGATGTAATTTAGGGTCTTACACTATGGGATTATGTAGATTATACTAATTTTATTCATTATTTGAGGAGTTGTAATTTTCTGAAATTATTGATACAAAAATAATGTTCAATAGTAGCGGGCAATTTTTGTATCATCTGTGGAGTTGTTGTAATTATGTGAAGTTATTGATACAAAAATAATGCTCATTGTTGTATCATTCAAAACCTGCACTATTAGAGTGTGTATTAGATACACAAATTTTACTAAAATGTATCAAATACACACATAAGATACATTGCAAGTTACTAATTTAACTGTAATCCATTATTTGTATCATGTTTAAGTGTTGGACAATTTTTGTATCATGTTTAACTAGTGAGCATTTAGTATCAAATATAAATATATGTCAGATTTTATAGATCATCAATTTGTATTAAGCATTAGTTACTCTTTTTATCATTATGTATCAACTAAATATTAAGATACTTTATAGTTACATTAATTTGAAATCTCCTACCCATGATTTTCCTTTCTTTTTTCAATCCACAAATCTCTCCATAGTTACTTTCATTAATCTATTTTTGAATTTCAAATTTTTTCTCTTTCCAATTAATGATTTCAAGTTATTCAAGAAGTAGATTTATTTCAATCCTTCGGTTTTTGATTTCCTTTATTTATTTATTTTAAAAATCATTTTAAAAAAATACTGAATCTTTTATTCCTGGTCTCTTTATGGAATAGAGGTGGAAAAACGTTGCTAATGCGCAGAGTTCATCTTGGAGTGCATCTGGAATGGTTTCAGGAATTTCTAATGGCAGTCTTGATACACTTCATTCTATTGGTTCGATCTTTCAATTTTTTGGACTTACTTTCAATGTATCTCGCTTATTTTGATTATTAAATTAGTCTTTATTAGTGTTATCACTGATTTGATACATCACTGCTACAATAGCCTTTGTTTTATTTAATGTATCATGTTCATATTTAAGTTATTAATACATAACTCTAATGTTGTTGAATCTTTGATTAATGTTTATCATGTTCAATATAAATGTACTTGATACATAAACTTTGTGTTATGTATCACACACCAAAAAACATGCTATTTGGAACAATTACAGGTATAATGTTTTTCTAAAAAAAGAAAATATAGTATTTCCCAAACAAAATAAGATATATAAATAATAATGTATCATGCACTAATTTTTTAGGCATGATATGTAAATTTGAATTCATACTAAATGTATCTGATACATATAACAATTACCAAACAATAATGTATTGATTTCAACCCTAAAATTTTATGGGCAACACTTTCTTATTTAATGTATTAGTAGAAATACAACACTTATCAATTTAAATTGAAAGAATCTTCATGATGTATCTTCTCAAAAAAAATTATAATTTTGAATCAAAATGAAAGGATCTTCAATGAACTAGGAGAATAATTTTGAAGCTCAAAATTTTCAAATTTTTTGAATCAAACTGAAAGGATCTTCAATGAACGGGAAAAAAATTTTGAATCTCAAAATTTTCAACAATCTTGAATCAAAATTGAAAGGATCTTCGATGAACTTGAAGATTCACAAAAGAAATTGTTTGTCCAACAACAATTCCATCACTTTTGTATCCTTCACAACTCACCTTGTTTACCCAAAATTTTGACAAAATTTTTTGAATCAAATCTGAAAGGTTTCTTCGCTGAATAATTAGGGATTAAGAATTGACACTGTACATATCCTACAGGTTTCATGCCACCTTTTCGTTGGCAAATATAAGAAATGTACTTTTTTGAAGTAGCTTCTCTACTTGTTGTATTTCTTGATGTCAGTTTGTGATTATGTACTATACAATGCCACATTAACATTGGCAGATTGAATTGGCCATTCCTTCCTTTTAGAGGATCTAAACTAGATGTACTATCACATGTGCATGCTTTTAGGTTAACCCCATGGATGAAGAATTCTGCCACCAGATTTGAAAATGCAGAAGAACTGTTCTTCAATAATTGGTTAGGAGCATCAAACTCGAGAATGTTTCCTACATCAAACAAGACAGATTTTATCAGGCAATACAATTTGCTTCGAACAATATTATGTGTGTATTCTCAGATGTTCTATGTCCTCATCATTTTGAAAATTTAAATTTCTTCGTTTTGTTAGGATTTATCTCTATATAATTGAAAGTAACAAGAAACGTAAGAAGATCGAAATATTCATTATGTATCGTATGAAATTTTTGGCTAATGGATGAAACAGAGAGAATAATGAACAAGAAGAAGAAATTTAATTTTTGATTTTTTTGGTTTGTTACACTATATGATTAAATTCTTGACAATAATTTTGAATGGAATAGAGCAATTTATGGGATCTTAATTTGATTTTTAGTTTTTTTTTCCCCCTTAATTAGTGCAACAGATGGATACTATGAGATTTTAATTTGATTTTTCAGATTTTTCTTTTCCTTAATAAGCGCAACAGATTGATGCATAATGTATCAATAATAATGAATCTGGATCCTTAACTATGTATTCGAAATGCCTAAAAAACATGGGATTTGTGTAATTAGAAAAAGAATAGGGATAGAAGGAAATTTAGATTTTACACTATGAGATTTATGTAAGTTATACAAAAAAGTAACAAAGAGAGTCATTTGATTTTGTGGCTCATTTAAGAAATGTTTAATGGGCACGTCTCAAAGATAAATGATTTTCAATAGTCATACATCCAAAGCTTTCGTTTAGTAGAAACAACACATCACATATTGTATGAGTTAGCACACAACATGAATTGTAGAGGGAAAACTTATTATTCATCGAATTTTGAACTGTGCCCAACTAGCTCTCTTGAATATTCTCAATTTTCCAAAAAATATCATGCTACGAAGTTTATTCTCTATATGCATTCTTCGACTATAAATTTTAATTCTCTTTAGTCAATATTTTATCCTGTATATCATGTAAGATCATATCAATCTTCAATTACAAAATATTTAGTCCATTGTTGTCCATCTATTAACTCTCTAAGTCAGAGTCTCCCCTTTTCTTCATTCATCCTTCTTGCCAAACTTCTCTAATTGTTTTGCCTGCATAAAAATCATAACAATAAAATTAATCAAAAAAGGAACAAGTATTAAAATTGATGTTGCTGATATTATGCGATCATCTCAGCTAAAAACTCAAGTTGTTAGAGAAAACACACTTTTATCTATTTAATAATGTCTTCAACACGTTTCCTCATAAACAATTTGTAGTTATTGTTTGTCAAAGTATGAAGTGCTTTGATGGTACATAGGATGAACACAAACAACTAATTGTACATGTGTTAGATTCATTTGGATCTTTATTAGTCCCAAGAGTAACATGAAAAGCCAATTACATATACTTAGTAAGAATGTATATATTTTGACTTACCTGTGAGTAGAGGAAAGTTCCAAAAATTGCAATGGTAGCACCAAGGGCGTTGACTGGTTGAATTGGATTTTGGAAAATGATGATGGAGGAAACTATCACAACAATTCTCTTCATAGTGTTACCAATGCTAAATGTCAATGGAGAAATTTCATTTAGGAACATATAGGACACTTGATTGTACAAGTGATAGAACACACTCTGTGCCACCACCCACCTAAAACAAGAACAAAAAAATTACATAAAAATTTTGAATTTTAAAAGAATTGACCAAACCTAAGTTGTTCAGACTCTCCAAAAATGCACTACTTTTGAAGGATCCGACATGCGACATGGGGCATGCACCCGATGACATTTTTGAAGAGTCTGAGCAACATAGGACCAAACAGAATGAGATTAAATAATGTTACTATAAGTTTGTTAGATAATGTGCTTACCATATAAAATTAGGGCCAATTTGGGAGACTGCATTTTGCCATCCAAGTGCCCATACTTTTGGACCCTCAACAGCAATGGCAAAGGGTGTAAGAATCAAAAGGGACATCATGGAAAGACAAGCATAGTAATTCATTCCTCCAACAGATTTCCCTTTCATCCCTTTCTTTGAAAATATGTTTCTGAATACAAATGCCAAGTTTGATATCATAGCCCCCATGAACCCTGCATGTTATGAAGCATTAGCAACATAAATAAATCTCATATAATTAATTAGTCTAAAATTTGACGGCAACAAGCAGTGAGAATCCAGGATTTCAAAAAAAGTAGTATGTCTATGATTTGAACTTGAAACCTCAAGGTGAGTTTTGAATCCCTTGAACACTAAGTCAACCTCTAATCTTACATTCACGAGGTTCAAAATCAATATATAGAATATAACAATTCTTAAAAATACCTTATATATACAATGTATTTTTTCACTTAGGGGATTCGGGTTAACCCTTTAACTACCTCTAAGTCCATCCCTGGCAACGAGTGTGGTGGTATGGATGATATCCCTCGACCCTTAATTAGAAGTAAGGTTTTAGTGGAGGATCCAAAAATTTATACAAGCAAGCGGAATTCAACCGTTTACTTATAGTAATATAATTTTTCAATTTAAATCCCTTTCCTTAAACCTAACTCCACCACTACCCCTTTCTATGTGATGCAAATCTATATTAGTCGGGCCAGTGAGCTTCGAATATATAAAACACATGCATAATCACTAAAACAAGATTGATTTGTAACTTATTACCAGTTAGATTAAAATTGAGCTCAGTAACAGCAGCAAGTGCACAACCACCAATAATTGGCACAAGTGAAAGATAAAGTGGCAATGGAAAAGTTTGACCCAAAAACAAACTTGAAACCAAAACACTGAAAGCAGGTTCTCCACTTTTGATTATGTGTGTGAATGAAACTGCAACTTTTGACATGCTCACTGTTGCAGCAACATGTCCAATTGTATGTGCCACAGCAACCTATTGAACACAAACACATTATAAGAATTCAATGTTTCTTAGTGCGAAAAACAGAGTATGATCATTTTACTTACAGGAAACAGAGCTTTCAAGAAATCAATATCAGTCTTTGGAGTTTCAGCAATTCTTGTAGCCCAAGAAACTAACATTATGAATGAGCCAGCAGCAAGTGATAGAGTTGAAGTAAGCCATGGAAATGGAAAAGCATTCAACACTTTCTTGTTATAAATATTGAATACCACATTCAGAGCCCACCATGTTGCAAAATATAACCCAATCTTGAATTTATGAGCAGCAACAATCTTAGTTTCTTCATCAAATTCAATGCTAATTGGTGGCCTACTAGCTTCATAGGCATTACATTGGACTAAAGGGTCCCTAGATTTTGATTCATTTGGTTCATTAACATGCCCAAATCCACTCACTGCTGAAATATATAAAGGCTTTTTGGACATAATATTACATTTTGGCAGGGCAATTTTCTTGGAAAAAAATGATGAAACACAAGGTTTTGAACTAAAGAGGTTTTTATGTAGGGGATCAAAAGTTGTGGAAAGTCCAAAATATTTTACTAAAGAAAAGGCCATTTTGTTTTATTTTCAAGAATAGTAGTAATAAAGTAAGTGTAATGGTATAGTAGTAGAAGCTAAAATAGTTATATGGAGAGAAATGCTCTATTGGGCCATTGGGGGGTTTGAATTTATAGTAGTATTTGAAATCTAATGGTAACAACTTACAAATGCAGAGTTTCTTGGAATATTACTCTGTACAAATTGAATTTTGATTAGTTTACTTTGGTATTTCTTAGCAGTTTCCTGTTCAATTTGAAGTATTTTTCCTTATATGTATTTCAAGATACTTCATATTTGTTTCATTTGTTTTGAAGTTGTTTTTTATTTAGTTTCTATTTAGTGTCTGATGTTCACATTTGAGCTCTGATTAAATTTATATTGCGTATAATAGAATCTAAACTGGGTGGTGTTTCCAAACAAGATTTGCTTGAACTCGAGATATCTGATTAAGATCTCTACACCACAACTCATATTGATGTTTTGAAGTTGTTGACTTGTCATGAGTTACAGTCAAATTATAGTTTTGTACTACTAGCATATTTTTCTTCTTGCATCTTTTGTTGAATTGTAGAAGTATGTAATAGGAGAGATTAGGGATAATTAATTTTGCTATTAATTTTAGGATGAGTTTATTTAATATTTAATTGGAATAAAATTGTGAGAGTAATTTATTTTGGGAATAATGTTATTTTTATCTTATTAAGGATGGAATAACTAATCTCAAGATAATTAATCTCTATTGAAATAACTTGTTACCAAACGATTCCTTAAAAATAAGAAGAATTATTCTAGTAGTATGGTGGAGACAATGATAACGCTATAATTTGTTTCAATTTATTTATTTTATTTTTAATATTTATTTTAAAAAGATTTTTTTAACTTTTTAATTATTTTATCTAAAGATATGCATAATGTACCAAAAGTCACTTAATTTTATAATTTTATAGTCTTAAAGAATAAAATTTAAAAGTTGTTAGTTAAACAAATTTTGAATATTCTTAACTAAATTTTTGTCTTCGTCACTAAATGAAGTTTCAGATACTAGACCCTCACTATCCACATGCATGGGGCAATCTCTAAGAATTAATTAAAATGTGAAATCCCACAGGGTGATGGATTTAGCATGGTATTAGACCCATGATTTGTTGTCCCTTACTCTCAACCGTTAAAATGCGTAACGGGAAGCTAGAATTGAAGAGTTTATAAAAAAGTTTATGCCCATGAATTGTTCCTTGCTTTTAAATCAGGAACAATTCGTGAGATTTAAAACTCCAACAAACTTTTCAACTCCATGAATAATTGTACTCATCGAAGCCTTGGGAGCTCATGTCCTTTTCAACATTGGATTAATTTTCTATCAAGTTTGGTGTGTTACATATGTCCATTTGTACCTTAGTGCTTGTTTGTTAAACTGTATTGACTAGCTTAGAGACTACTTGTCAACAATTACATAGTGGTTTACTATATTGACTTATAATTTGGAATTGTTAGAAACCATTATATCTCAAGTTCTTAGACATGCAATTAACAAGGATTATACATACAAAAATCCCAATTCTTTGAGCCAAAGAAGCAGCCTTTGAAACTTAAGGATGATTGATCCGGCCTCTTTTATCCTTGTCCACTTAAATACTGAATTTAATTTGTTTGTGCAAGGCTCGAACTTGTGACCTTAAAACTCATACACAAGCATCAGAACTTTATATCAGCTAGGGAAACAGGAAAAAAACCAAAATTGATATGGTTTCAAGAGTCGAAATTGAAAGATCAATGCCAAAAGAAATACAAACTCTTCAACTCTAGCTTTCGAGTTGAAAGATTAAGCCCTCTTCTTCCTGCTTATCGCGGATCCTTTTCCAATGCTAACACTCTTGCTAGAATGAGGTAGTAAACCACGTAAAATCGCTAAAACAGCAAATCCTAGAAATGGATAGTACACCATCAGCAACTTGTCTGATGCTCTCTGGGAATTCTTCATTTCACTTAGTATCGCCACCTGAAATTAGCAACATTGATTAGAAAGACGTATGCATATATTTTCCTTTTTAAGAGGCACTAAAACTTGATTGGACACAAGGTGACCATGATACCAACAACAACATACGTAGTACAGTTCCACAAGTGGGGTCTGGGGAGGGTGGGGTGTACCCAGACCTTATCCCTACCTTTGTGAGGTAGAGAGGTTGTTATTAATAGACACTCTGCTCAAGAAAGTCATTTTCCAGAACAAGTTTGAAAGAAATGCAAGAGTAAAAAAAAAATATTATGAAAATATTAAAAAATGTTAAGTACTTAAGGTAAAAACGTAAAGATAATCAAAGTAAAAGAAACAAGGTGGCATGATGCCAAGCTGGAGAAAAGAAACCAGATAAAGAACTTGACATTGCAAATCGAAATGGAGACTCTAGTGGTAAAATAGAGTTCCAACTTCCAAGCATACATCAACAACAACATACCAAGTGTAATCTCACAAGTGGGGTTTGGAGAGTGTGGATGTACGCACACCTTACCTCTATCTTAGAGGTTGTTTCCAACTGACCCTTGGCTCAAAAGGGAAGTTTTCGAAGCAAGATTGTAAGCAACAAGAAAGCAAAACAAATGAAGCAACATATACTAATACACACAGAAGAATAAGAGACTAAAATTACTACTAATAAGGATAGGAGGCTAGTCCCCTGCCCATCCCACATAAAGTGTGACCACACTCGCTACCTAATAACCTTATACTCTCATCTTCGACCTTCATACCTTCCTTTCTAGGATCATATTGTCGTTAAGCTAAAGTTGTCTCATGTCATGTTTAATCACCTCCCCCAGTTCTTCTTCAGCCTACTTCTATCTCTCGTAACTCTCGCTACTCCCAACCTCAGCATACTATCCTTCACATTAATTTCTCAAATTATTTCCATTAACCATAAAAGGCCCAAAAGTAACAATCTTTCATCTTAGGGGTAATGTCAATACAACTTATTTTCAAATATACTAGAGCTATCCGATCTTATGAGGGGGAAAGAGCAAGCAAAGCAAAAATTCACCCAGAATGCATCTGCTTCATCCCATAATGTTATCAAATTCAATCTAATTGAAATCCAATTCCACTGATTTATGAAACATCAACCACAAAAACAAGACAATTTGAAGCTAGCACAACAATCTAATAATCTTCAATTAACAGAGTCCAGAGACATACAAGACAACTTGTAATTAGCCCCAAATATAAACAATAAGCAAATTTCTTACCATTGAAGTGAGGGTGGAAACACCATATAGCAAGGAGGTAGTTTTAATCCAAGATTTTCCAGCTGCAATGGCATAAAGACTAAGCAGGCAGATGGGCCAAGCAAAGAGAAGCTCCAACCAGATTAACCCAACAAAGAAATGGAGTTTCTCAGAAACCAAATAATCACCACATTCTTGAGTGTACCAGCTCTTTAGGTCAACCAACACAGGGTGAAATATGTGTTTAGGAAGGGCAGTTTGACCATCAAAGAGTGGTGCAACAATGGCCATGAAGAAGAAGTAGATGAAAAGAAGCAAGTCCAATAGCTTAACAAAACCATCCATTTTCGTCTTCGTCTCTTTGCAACAGCCACTCAACAGTAATGCTAATTCTGCAAATAATGTTTCCCTTTGAAATCTCGCTCACTAGTCAATAATGAGTAGATCCAGAAGCAGTTCTTTTTCTAAATTTTCCACAATAAAATATTGTGTCATTACTTTATTTATTTTACATAAAATAAGTACGTAACGTAGTTGCTGTAATCTATAAAAGAACAGATGGAATATACTTGTTCCTTAGGCAAATCTGGGTGTTAGTATTCCAACAATTTTTAAAATAAATTTATTTTCCTTCAATTTAAGAAAAATGACTTTCTTTTACCGATCGAGACCCATCACCTCAACTCTAGCTACATCTCGAATGCAATTAGCAATCCTATCCCATATATTTTCCTGAATACTTTCCATTAGTTCAAATTTTCCACTAAGTAATGCCGTCAAATATATTTTTTATTTGTTTCTGTCAAGTGTCAACTACTGAAGCACGCAAAATCAACTGTTGAGAAACTAGTTAATCCAATCGAAATACATTGTAATAGTCTTATAGACAACTCAAATGGAGTTCCTATTTCTGGTATATAGTACTTTGCTAGACTTTATGGCAAGAAAATTGATCTTTGAAGATGCAGCAGCAGATTGTTGCGAACGAGAAGGAAATTATATCAAGATTTAAAACTAACAATGTCATCAGCACTTGTGAAACTAAAACTCATTTTGTGATTGTTTACGTGAAAACTCGTGCACAAGCCATCAAAAAATATAATGTCAACTAAAAAGAACCAATAACAAAAATTGATATGGTTTCTAGGTATCACTGCCTAAAGAAATACAAACTCTTCAATTCTAAGCTTCTGAGTTGAAAGATTAAGCCCTCTTCTTCCTGCCTATAACGGATCTCTTTCCAATGCTCACACTCTTGCCAGAATGAGGTAGTAGACCACGTAAAATTGCTAAAATAGCAAATCCTAGAAATGGATAGTATATCATCAGCAACTTGTCTGATGCTCTCTCGGAATTCTTCATTTCACTTAGTATCGCCACCTGAAATTTGCAATATTGATTAGAAAAGCAAGGCATAAGCAGATGCAATTCCACTTGACTGCTATCTCAATTTGGGAACTGCTGCATCTCTAATATGACCTTTTACCTTCATTGAGGATCAAATGTTTTTGATTTGAGAAGATGTACGAATAAATGAAACCATGATTCTGAAAGTGGGTGGGTGGGCAGGCAGTAAGTAGCTATGCACTGGCTCGGCCTCTCTAAGAGTCAGTTCTAGAGGGTCAGGAAACAGTTTAATACTCACAAATGACGATACAATCTGCAGCAAGATGGCAGGAGGTAAAATGATGATTTCTGGACAAGAAGATTATAACACAGCTGATTCCTCAACAACCAGAAGCGCTAGACAAGTTGTTCTTATGCTTCTGGGACTCTTCTCTATTGCACTATGTTCATGTTGGTTGTTGCTCTTGAATTATTCCAATGTTCATTATGTTACCTGCTTTAGCTCTTGAGTTTCCAATGTTCATTTTTATTACCTTAATTGCTATTCGCCACACGCACCCACCTCCAAAAAAGGGAGGAAAAGAAATGGAAAAAAGGAACAATATGAGGCCCGAGTAAGATTGACGGTCAATTGGTTTGGATATGTCCAATACAAAACTGTAGAAAACTAGCTAAGATGTATGCATATATTTTCTATATTTTTCCTTTTTCAAAGACACTAACTTGATTGGAGCAAAGATGGCCGTGATAAAAACAACAACATACCCAGTATGGTCCCACAAGTGGTGTTTGGGAGGGTTTGATATACACAGACCTTACTCCTACCTTTGTGAGGTAGAGAGGTTGTTTCCGATACACCCTCAGCTCAAGAAAATCATTTTTCAGAACAAATTTGAAAGAAATGTAAAGAGTAAAAAAAAATATGAAAAGAAAAGAATCGACAGTAAAAATGTTAACGTTAAAGATACCAAAGTAAGGGAAACAAGGTAGCCATGATACCAAGCTGGAGAAAAGAAAACAGATAATGAACTTAACATTGCAGATCGAAATGAAAACTGTAGTGGTAAATTAGAGTTCCAACTTTTCTTGAGAAGCTGAAAATAGTGTTCCAACTTCCAAGCATACATCAACAACAACATACCCATCCCACAAGTAAGATCGGAGAGGGTGGAGAACGCAGACCTTACCCCTACCTTTGTGGGGTGGAGAGGTTGTTTCTGATAGACCCTCGGCTCAAAAAAAAGTTTTCAAAGCAAGGTTGTAAGAAAATATGACAGCAAGCTACCAAGATACACTGCAAATAAAGCCACATACATTAATACCACCAAAAGAATAAAATTTAGTACTGCTAATAAGGATAGGAGGCTAACCCCCTACCTCTCCCACATAAAGTGGGACCACACTCCGCTACCTCCTATCTTTTACCCTCATTTTCAACCTCTACACTTTCCTATTAGGTTCATATCATCACTAAGCTGAAATTGTATCATGTCTTGTCTAATAACCTCCCCAGTTCTTCTTCGGCCTACCTCTAATTTCCGCTAGAGCCAACCTCAACCTCAGCCTACCTCTAATTTCCGCTAGAGCCAACCTCAACCTCAGCCTACATCCTTCACATTAATTTCTCAAATTATTTCCAATAACCATAAAAGGTCCAAAAGTTACAATCTTTGTCAATACAACTTATATTCAGATAAACTAGAGCTTTCCAATGAATCCTGTCATATGAAGGGGAAAAGAGCAAAGAAAAGCAAAAGACAACTTTTTTGAAAAAGGTTCCTACCATCCAGAATGCATCTGTTTTAACTTTCATCTCATAATGTTACTAAATTCCATGTAATTAAATCCAATTCAACTGATTTATGAAACATCAACCCCCAAAACAAGACAATTTGAAGCTAGCACAACAATCTAATAATCTTCGACATGCAAGACAAATTGCAATTTGCCCCCCAAAAATAAACAATAAGAAAATTAAATTACCATTGCAGTGAGAGTGGAAACACCATACATCAAGGAGGTAGTTTTAATCCAAGATTTTCCAGCTGCAATGGCATAAAGACTAAGGACGGAAAGGGGCCAAGCAAAGAGGAGCTCCAGCCAGATTAAGCCAACAAAGAAATGGGGTTTCTCAGAAACCAAATAATCACCATATTGTTGAGTGTACCAGCTCTTTAGGTCAACCAACACAGGAGGAAATATATGTTTAGGAAGGGCAACTTGGCCATCAAAGAGTGGTGCAACAATGGCGATTAACAAGAAATAAACGAAAAGAAGCAAGTCCAATAGCTTAACAAAAGCACCCATTTTGGTCTTCGTCTTTTTGCAGCAATAGAACCAGCCACCAACTAACAGTTCAGCCAATTTTGGAAATTATGTTTTTTGTTAGAGATGTCGCCCACTAGTTCACTTCCATGAAAAGGGGATCTGAATGAATGAAGATCCACAAACATTTCTTTTATCTAATGTCGTCAATTTTCCTATCAACGCCTACCACTTTGCTTGCACATGGATAATTATATTATATTATATTGTGTTATATTTCTGAATATTTATATATGTTAATACATATGAAATCTTTTTTTGTTATTTAGTGATGAATTTAATGATGTAATATAATGAAACCTAGTTAACAATTAAAATAAATATGATATTTATAAACTAGTAATACACTACCATACAATAGGTAGCAGCCATCCAAATAAGCTGCTAAACTACAAGTTGATATTTTTTTAAAAAAAGAAATATTCATCCCCATAAAAATTTGCACTTTGGTGTGACGGAATTATCAAATTTTATTAGCTCCTCTGGGATGTCAAACGGATGAGTTGAATTAAAATTGAATAAGTTGAAATAGACAAAATAAAAACATGCTAGTGAGTCGATCATCAATCATCTCATAATATTTTGTTACTTACATAGAAATGTAATATATTATGAAAGTTATCATTTATCGTGTCTAATAATACACATTTTTTCTTTTGTTACCCTTGTATAAAATTCCTTGCCGATGGAGCTGGAAAATACCCTATTATCCTTGTGCTGAAGAGAACGGCAGAAGGGGCTTTGGTGTTAAGCACAAATATGAACATATTTAATCCACAATATTGAAGAAAGAAAGACCAAGGGCAAAATTGTCTTTTGATCATTTATTAAAGTGGTTAACCCCAAATCTCTTCTATTTCACACACTCTAGAAGGGTAGTAGTATTTCAATCCTCTTTGGGACTTTGAAGATTTGCTTACAACTTAAGGTATGATTTCCTCTCAACTTTTGTTCAAATCTTCTTCTCGAATTTCATGTTGTACGTTGAAATTTTATATCGAGGAAATACCTAAATTGAATTTTTGGGTTGAAGAAGCTTTTCTCGGTTGTTATTGATGTTTGTTGTTGTTGTTGTCAGTTTTGTGATATATTTATTTTTACATATGTTCCCCATTACGGAGTGCTGAATTAATTTTTAATATTTTCTGTTGATTGATTTTATAGATACTGTAATTCGTACAAATTTGATAAATTGAAATAGGTTAACTGAGTTCTGGTTTGTTTCTTATCACAATTCACAACCAAGTTGTTTGATGATATCCCTTAAACAACAGGTTGTTCGAAAGATTATGCTCTTACTTGCCATGTTCAATACTAATAGCTAAGATAGAAAGAAATAGAATCAAAGGTGAGATGCCTAACTTTATTTAAGTATGACGATTACACTTTGTTATCTTTCCTTATGCAAAAAACTCTAGCCAATTCTCAGACCTTTGGGCATGACTATGATTTGAGTTTTGTAAAATCAATGTACAAAAGGTCACTCTCCAATATAATACAGGTTTGTGAATTTGTGGATATCAATATCGAAACCCCCTAAAATCAATTACACTTGTCTCATTTACAACATCTATCAGATGTCTAGAGTCATATCACCAAAAACCTTCAACCTGACGATGCTTCTATTGAATTCTTTGGATTAGTATAGTATTTTACTTCTTGATGGTATTATGAGAACTATCTTGGACTGAAAATGACATAGTTTAGGAACTAGGAGATGCATAAAGGGGAAACTACAACGTCTCAAGTCTCGACATGTTTTGGAAGATATATGTTTAAATTCCTTCATGCACTTCACGTTTCCCCCCCTATTAATACTTTAATATACATGTGGAATTGCAAGTTTAGTTGATTTTTTTTTTTTTGAGCTGATAAGAATTGACTTTTGGTAGATGAATATTCGGCAATTCTGAATCATCTTAGGGGTTGAAATATCTGCTTAGTTTCGCGGTTTTTGTTTCCGTGTCTGTATGTATCAAGATACATACTGATGTGCAATTATATAAGGAGAAAATTGAACACTTGATGGACTAAAAGATGGAAGTATAGAAATGAACTGATGCTTGTGATAAAGATGAATAGGTTTGTTGTCATTCCTCTTGTGTAGCAAAAAGTTGTCTCTGGAGTGCATAGTTATAATATATGACCAAACATAGTTAAAAACATCTAGATCAAACTGGAACCTTGAATTAAGACTGCAGTTTTTTAAGAACAATATTATGTTAATATGAAAACTGTTCGTAATGTTATTTTCCAGTAATATGTCTGTTCAAATCTCTTTTAGATATACCAAAATCCAGCTAAAGAATAGAAGAAGAGTTAGAGTTGTTGATTAGTTATATAATTGGTGAATTGTTTGGACTTAGATCTTGTTTTGGATCGACTTATTTTAAGTGTTTTTAAGCCTAAAATAGTTTTAAGCACTTTTGTAGTGTATTGGTAAGATACGAAAGTGCTTTTAAGCAAATTCTTCCAAGCATGCTCTTAGTTTAAGTTCCAAGTCAGTATGTTGAATGTATTTTCTTTTTCCCACAACTAGAGTAGTTTTTTGAATAGATACTTTATTTGCTTAATGTTGTGTGGCAGCTAAATGAAGAATGTAAGCATATGGAATTTTAGAAAATTGAAGTAAATATGTTAAGAAGCATGAATTATGAAACTTTTAAGAAAATATTTACAAATATAATAAGCATTTGAAAGTATGAAATATTTATAAAATTTGTATAAATATATTGTCAGTTTGATTTGATTCATTTAGGTTAACATCAAACCAAATCAACTATGATTAAATTTTTTTTATATCAAACTAAAACTAAATCAAATCACTAATGTTTTCTCTTCTCAATTTGATTTAAACTATTGATTTGATGCAGTTTGTCGGTTTATCTGAACCCTGCTTTAGAACAAAAATTAGTAAGTCTTTTCCTTCTATTTGATAGACCCGATCTCGACCTGACTCAAGAGGGAGGAGAAAACACAAGTGTTGTATTATCAAGGTTGGGCGAAAGGACATCAGACAGTAGAGACGGAAGATGAGTTCTCCAGTTCCCAGAAGAGAGAGTCCATGGGGTTTGCCGGAAGGTGATAACAGACAACCTAAGGCCCATAGATGCAACGACCGTGTTGAGGATGTTGTTCAGGTCAGAATTTTATCTGCACTTTTATTTAAAATTATTGCGTCTGAGTTTCCGTTCCATTTCTTAGATAGTTAGATCAATATTGATTCGTGAATTTTTGTGGCCATTCTGGTGGATGTTAGTATTTCAGTCTAATTGAGTACTTCGTCTGTCCCAATTTAAGTTTAAATTGGACTACTCGCGTTTTTAATTTAAGATCATAACATTGAAAACTATTTTTCTTAAATTCTGTGTCTAGTCAAACTAAGACACTTAAATTGGGACGGAGGGAATAATTTGTTTGCCTTTTTAGATTCTAAAAGCACTCATATTATTAACTTGGATGTGTGGTAAGCCTGGAGATTGAACTCTGAAATTTGTTTCAGCCTATATTATCATTTACTAAAAATGAGAGAAAAAGTTGATGTGGGATTTTGAAGGTGGAGGAGTAACATGACTTGGGTATTCCAACATTAGGGTGGACCTAGTACTAATCATGTTGAGAAAATGAACTTTGAACCTTAATATATAGCTCAAGTATCATATGGGAAGACTACGATCCATACACTTACCAATTTTGGGATTCTAAACAGTACTCGACATGATGTGCTAAAAGATGAGGCCAACTAAGAACCATTTAGCTTCACTACTAGTCTGCAAGCAGGTAAACGAAGAGTAACGATGTTTTGGTGGGGACACTGGATATGTTTTGTGGTTTTAAAAGGAGAGTATTTCTGGGCTTCTGCCACCTCTATGGGGAATATGATGATTCAGAGGGTTTCAGAACTTTTTGTGTTATTCTGCATCTTCTTGAGGCCAGCAATGAAATTTCTTACTCCCTCAATTTCATTTTGTTTGAGTTATTTTCCTTTTTAGTGAGTTTAAAGAATGTATCTTGTCTAATTTGACAACTCTTTAGTTCCAACATTCTGCTCGGCATATTTAAGGCCACAAAATTAAAAGGCATTATGATACATTAAACATATCTTTTTTTTGATAAGATAAGTGGTATTAATAACAACATCAGGAAGATGCAAAATTTACAAGATATGACATTTGAGCTTACAAAAAAATCTCTGGCTAACTATACAAACTATCTAAGCCAGAGTTAATGAGTTAGTAAAATCCTGAAGTTGTTCTGCATTAACAGCAGGATACAAGTTGGTCCAACTAAACAAATTTTCAGTGCACCTAGTCTTCAAAATGCCTAAAGCAGTTGACTCTCCATCAAAACATCTCTTGTTCCTCTCTAACCAAATACACCAAAAAATACAAGCAGGTATCATAATCCAGATCTTCTTGATGGCTTTGTGAACTTTCCATAGACTCCAACTCTCATATGCATCCTTAACAGTGAGGGGTGTGGTCCAATTGATTAAACATATTTTTAGTTTAGACTACAAGATTCAAAAGTCTTCTTCCTAATAATAAACATAAAGGAGGAACATCACAATTACTAAATACTACTACTAATAAGAATCATAGAGGAGGCTGACCCCCTGCCTCTCCCTTCCAAAGTGTGACAACACTCGGTTACCTACTAACCTTCTAGCCTAATCCTCATGCCTTGGTCTCCACCCCTTCCTATCTCAGCTCATTCGGCCTACTTCTACCTCTTTTAACTCCTGTTACAATCAACCTCTCACACCTCCTTACTCGCCCATTCACGTACCTCCTCGTCATATGCCCGAGCCATCTTAGTCTTGCTTCCCTCAACTTGTATGCTAGGATTCAGAAACTTCCTTTATGTGAAACACCAGCATAGTGATATGGAGTTTCAAACTTCTATACCAAATTCGTAAGTTACCTGTATGTGGAACTCCCTACAATATCATGGAGTCCGAGCTTTTACAAGAGAAGTTGGAGTTTTGCCATTAAAACCGACTTTGATGTTGCCGCTGCCTTCATCCTATGGTTTCAACTTATCCTGTTTCTTCTGACACAATTCTTTCAGTTTCATCAAACAATATAAGGAATGAAAATCAAGAGAAATTCCATTGTAATGTTGAACTATATATTAGAAATTTAGCTGTGGAGTACCTGCCTGTACTGATATAATGATGCTTATACTCAAATAAATTGCTAGCTTCTTGTCAAGTTAATAGTTCTCTTCGAACACGCTGCTGATGTATTGATTCTGATTCATATTGGTCCGTAAAATAAGTTCCATGTTTTTCACTTTTATGTCTCCAAATTACATTGGTGTAGTAGGTGGTATGTAGTATATAGATCGAGAAGCTTAGTATATTGATCTCCTTTGTCTAAAAGTTGATGTGATTCAATTTATGCCAAGGCAAATTTGCAGTAGTTTGAATATCGAGCATTAAAATGTGGCTACTGTTCTTTAGTGGTCTGCAAAGTGGCTATTTGTCCATTTTTCCCTCTATCTAGTGTTCGTAGGAAGGAGAGATGTTTGCATATCCCTCGTCAAGGATGGGAATATCCTTCGATCTTTACCTGTTCCCAGACCAACCCATCCATTCATTGGTTACATTGTGCCCCTGGTTCCAGAATCAGATACTCAACTCTTTTGAATGTCTGAGTTCATCACTGGCCATTTTACATCTTTTAGTATAACCCAGCATAATGTTCAACACACGCATTTTATGCTTGTTTGTCGTTTCTTTTTTCAGCTGACTAATTTATAATACTATGCAGGCATGTTTTGAAGGCAATCCATTTAAAACGATACCGGGGCCTTTCAAGCTATTCTGGAGGTGCATGCGTTCTAAGCCTGGGTAAACTTCAAGACTTCAATTATTATTCCGTAGATCAGCTGTGAAATAATTGACATTGAAATAAATTAGTCTTATCTCATTATATGTCATCAAACACAGCCTTTAGCAAACCATCTTCTAATAGATATTACAGTTCAAATAAAGTGATTGGAAAAGGGACAAATATACCCCCAAACTTTCGAAAATGGTATGTCAATACCCTTCGTCATACTTTTCGTCCATGAGTACCCTTGCCGTCCAATAACTAGTGCACATTTGCCCCTCCCACTAACGGAAGACTCATTTTGTACACGTGGCACAATCCTACGCCTCAACCCGGGTTGACCAAATATTTAACCCAAATTTCAAATTTCCGTTTAACCCGCCCCATTACCCATTTAACAAACTATCTACAAACCTAAAGAAGAAAGCCCCATTTACTTTTAACGCTGCTTCTTCCTCTTAAGGTTGCCGCCGCCGTCGTTGTTGTCCCCCACCCCCTCACCCCCTGTCTTCTTCTTCTTCTTTTATCTTTCCATATACTTTTTCAATCATCTACTTGAAGATTTAAACAAAAGAGATCGAGAATCCAAAGCACCTATTTCTGCAAAGAAAAAAATGTCACGCTAAAATCTTGAAGAAGAGACTCAAAATTACTTTGCCTTGGATAAAGTTTCTGCAAATTAAATTAATTAACATCATCTATCAGGGGAAAAAAATTAATTAGAGTAATTGAAAAATTCAATTTTCATTGGAGATAAAAACATAACCAGATCAAAACATTGCAATTTATTTGCATTCTCGGCTACTTGTATGTCCTTTTTGGTAAAGAAAGAGGTAGAATTATTCCAAAGAAAAAAACGAACCCCATGAAAGGAAAATGGGATTCTAAGCTAATACAGCTTATGTTTCTTCCCCAAATGGAAACAAACTTCTGGAAAGTTTCTAGAATCTTCTTCTTCTTAACTAAAAAAAAAATATAAAAAATTCAAATCTTCAACCCCACAATTCCAAAAACTCCGATTCGGATTCAGATTTCAACACATGTTTGAGATTTCTACGTGGGGTTCTCGAACATGAACATCAGATTCTTATGTAGGTAATGGGTGTATCAGGTGAGTTAAATGGGTAATGGGGCGGGTTAAAAGGGTCAACCCGGGTTGAGGCGTAGGATTATGCCACGTGTACAAAATGAGTTTCCGTTAGTGGGAGGGGCAAATGTACACTAGTTATTGGACGGCGAGGGTATTCATGGACGAAAAATATGACGGAGGGTATTGACATACCATTTTCGAAAGTTCGAGGATATATTTGTCCCTTTTCCCTAAAATGATTGATGAAGACATCTCTTGTTACTCTAATTTATGTATTGGCTTACGTTTTCTTTTGATTTATCTATAAGAGGTATTGGAATAAAGTTGAACATCTTAAACAAGTTTATAGAGCACCAATAATTTGTTATTTTTATCTAAAAATACATACTCTTGAAGACTACTCATACATAATACAAATAGGCTACAAAATTTGGAGCCAACCCGAGTATCAAGTTTTGAAAATGATGAACTCGGTTGTTCGTTCTGAGCTTAGATGTTGAAGATTGAACAACTCAAACAGCAATGAACTTCAGTTTTTTGACATCTTTGAAATTAATGAAGATGAATTGTGTGGAAGGAAGATATATTTCGGGGGTTGGAGATTTGAAAGGGATAAACTTGAAGAGAGAAATTGTAAGAGGTGAGCCCTGGGGGAAAAACACAGTAAACATTGAAGAATACTTAAAGGGTATGTAAAATAGTTTTCAGATCCTTATAGCCCGGATGTTAAATATTTCGTGATTGGTACAAATAAACAAGCAGGAATCTTATTAAAAAACAAAAAACAATCGAAGAAATACTGTTTGGATGAAGTGCCAAATTTGAAAGTTGTCTTTATTGCTTTCAGTTGGTATAAGTTTCTGTTCCTATAGTGATAAAGAGAAGGCTTTTCTAACTTTCTATGCAACATGGTTGTGCAGGGAAGAGCCTACTGAGCCATTCTACTACTTGCAATTGGAACCTCCCAAGAGAGAAGTGCACCTTGAGTAGAGCTTTGTTTTTGTTAATTTCTAAACCTTTAATGAGGTTGTTTATGAATCCTGCCTGTCACTCTAGGTTGTGTTACTTGGTGACAGCAATCTGCACTTCGGAAGGTTGTTCATGGCGCAAATTTCCCTTAATGAAGATTGGAAGTTTATGTTATATTATTTCCTGTTTCTGAATAAGCACGAATATCTAATATGAAATGATGTTGATACATAGAATTTCGAGATACTATACTGTTCTGTTCTTTTCGAAGTAAAGGTACATTTGCATAAGTGTTGGCCACAAAAGTGGTAAAGTAAAATATGTGATTTTGTGCACTGCATGTGTCCTTTATTCTCTCCTTGTTGCGTTCATTTTGACCAATGCTTTGTTCCTGCTCGTTATATATTCAATGAGTACATGCCTGAAGTTCATAATATTTTGTTCTACTCCAGTTTTTATTACATTTTTAGTTACGTCGGCATCTTGAATTGGTCAATGCGAACTTTATCATAGGAAATGACATACAAATATTGCTCATAATTCATAAATGTGACTTGACTAGGAAGGAGGTAGTTAACTCTACTCTAACAAATTTGCAAAACAAGCAATTGTATCTTCTTTGTATATATCATATCCACATACTAATTTGATGGGTGGAGTTTGGAGAGAATGGTGTGTATGCGACTTTAACCACCTACCTTGAGAAGATAGAGATAGTGTTTCTGATAGTCCATCTCTCCCAAGGAAAACATATAAAAATAATAAGTATGTAAAGCAAATATAATAATAAAGAAGTCACGCTGAAAACAACGGAGAAGAGAATCGTAGCAGCAATAAATAATATGATGATTGAAGTCAGAGGGAACAAGTAATACTAAAATCAAAGAATAAGATACTGAGAGAATAATAATAGCAATACAAATAAGGAAACAAGATAGCGCTCGACTACCGATTAACCCAATCTTCCTATCTAGGTTTTTGTTCTCAAACTCCATATCTTTTTAAAGATATTCAGGGTCATGTTCTCGATAAGCCACATATTTAATCCTCAACCTCCATATATTCTTATTTAGGGCCATGTTCTCCATATGCCGTACATTTGTCATGTCTTGTTTAATCATCTCCTTTAATACTTCTTCAGCTTACCTTTATCTCTCCTTATACCCACGACCCATCATAGTCAATCTCTCACACCTAGTCACCGGGGCATTTGTGCATCTTCTCTTTTACAACAATCTGAATACTTACCAAAGTCCAAGTGACAGGTTTACTAGAAGTCAATGATGGGTTCTCCAATGGTGAGGTTACGTTCCATTGTCCATGGTAAATTGAATAGCTTGGCTGTGATGAACTTGAATATCTTGTTCACATTTATGTTGTATGTTGCACTTGAGAAAAATAGGGTTGCATTCAGTGCTTTTGCATATGCTCTTGCCTGTTCAAAATCATATTGGACATACTGTAAATATCAGTTATCCTTTCATGACCCAACCAATTATGGTTGGTCCAACTTCAGAGCAATTAAAGATAATACAGTAGGAAAAGTATCTCTATTTAATGTACCCAATAAATAGATGGTGGATTTAATTTGCTCAAGACTATTAATTTTGATTCCTTTTCCATGTAATTTACCTCTGCTATGACTTTTCTTTGGTAATCTTGAACACTACTCAAATTAAAATTTTGAGCTTATGAATTTTGGATGGTAAAAAAAATAAAATTAGTTGTTGTATTCCTGATTCTAGTACGGCTCAAACTCATGACTTATAAATCAAGCGAAACTTCTCTTCACCTAAGGTGATAAGAAGATAAGGATGATACCTGATTTGAAATGGTCCATTGCACATCTAATGGTAACTTCACGAAATCATCAAACTTTGTTCCTATCAATACTGGAATTGCCGTCTGAAAACAAAAAAATTAACTCTAATCAATTACTATACCATTGAAACATTCCATAATCAAGAGAGAAACAGAGAAGAAAACGATGATTTCTACCTGATTCCATTGTCGTGCTTGTTGATACCAACTGATAACACTGCCATTTTATCAGCAAAACAATTTTACACTGACTTGTGATGAATTGTTACAGATTTCTCTTTCAAATAAATATGTAAAACTATGATACCTCTTCAGTGTACGTCGACTTGTTAGATCAAACATGAATAACATTGCTACAGAGTCTTTACAAGCTGTTGAAATCTGAGTAGATGCAGAAACATCACCTGCATTGTTAACATTTAAGTCAAATTCACATATTATTGATTCGGAATTCAAAATTTATCGAATTTTTGACACATATACCTTGAACTTCCCATATAGTATATGAGATTCTTGCTCCTTTAACACACAAAATTTTATTCATTTGATTTAACCCTGTTGTTGAAGTACTCTCCTTTCCTACATACTTTGTCTTTAATCAACGTTATGAATCCAACATTAGAAACACGAAGAAAGAAAGAAAGACTTTTGAAACTTGCAGACAGACTAAAAAAAAAACTAACCAAGAAACTTGTCTTGCCAATTTGGTTATCACCCAATACACATATCTTCAAGGAAACCAAATCCTCCAATGGCGCGAAGACCGCCCTGCCAGATGGCGAGGGGGTCGCGGTGGTGGTGGTGATGGAAGATGAATGGTGGTGGTGTGACAATTTTCTATACTTGATGGACTTATAGCCTATACAACAACCAACAATTTGGTTCCAAAATGACTTCACATACTTTTGAAGTACTGCTACCCTGCAGATTATTTTCCTCTTTCTGTTCAGCTTAAACATTCTTCTATAGCAAAGTAGTATACACTTCCTCATGATTTGTGTTTGTTTATGTTTTTTGAATTGAAATTGAGAAATAGCTTCAAAAGGAGCTTATGCTAATTCTAAGGGCCATGAAAGTAGTGAAATAAAGACTCTTTTTACATACTCTCATATTTTCTTTTTTGTCTATAAGTTGTTTAATTAATTATTTTTTTATCGGGTTAAGGAAAAATTGGATAACGGTTACCGGCGTTAAAGAGAAGAGTTGACTGTTTTTTTAATTTTGACATAATACATAAATTGTCTTTTAATTTAGCCTCAACTAATATCTATGTAGGCTATGCCCTCTAACTTTGAATGTACATACACACTAACTTGTATAAAATTGAACAGATAGTCACATTAGTCCTACGTGACATTTGTCATGGCAATTTTTGTCCTACATGACATCCTACGTATATTATGACACGTGGAATACATGTGTGTACCTAAAATTGGAGGACGTAAATACTAGCTTAAAAAACATATTTATGTATTATGTATTATTATTTATTTTTGGGTACGAAGAGAAAGTCAGATTATGTCCTTGTCTATATCTTCTTTTTTTATCGATGGAATGGTAAATTGCTACTTATTGGAATGAGGGAAATGCTTGTGGATCTACGTTTTTTTTTTCTTTTTCCCCATCGTTTGTGGATCTACTTGGTCACTGCAAAAAAAAAAAAGTTATCTGCATTTTTCTATGAATTATGGGGTATATATTTTTATTTCTCATGTTTCGTATTATGAAAAATAATTTGACTAATTTTTAGAGTTAAAGTGAAATGAATTAATTTAATATTTAAAATTTAGATGTTTGAAAACTATACGAAAAATACTATAAGTTGCAACTCTTTTCATACTAATATGATGAAAGAATATATCTTAATATGTCGGTCAAACTCTGTATAATTTGACTCTTGAAAAGTAAAATGTGACAAATAAAAATGAACGAATGAAGTATCATTGATATAGTTTAACAATGAATTATTTATTTTCTTTTATAAATTAATGATGATAATTATATGCACTTAAACTTGAAGGAAGATCCCTAAAATTTATAACCCTTTTAATCTTTTATTTATAAGATACCGATTCACAATAATCATTTCATCTGTATAAATAACATAATTATATAAAAATAAGATAGATAACCTAGAGACCTCCCTCCAAGTTCGACCTCAGACTCGCTAACTAAGAAATTCTTTTTCATGTGTACGCATATTTTACCTACTCCTTAGGTTGAGAGGGTGATAAAATATGATTCCGTATAAGATCTATTTAATTTTTGAAAAAATATTCAGAATGTAGTTAAACATAAGTTTTAAAAATTCTTATTAAATACAAGTCTACATGTAATATAATTTGATTCTCCATGTGTCCCTTACGAAACCTAACGAAGAGACATTGAACTAATTTTATATTAATTAATCTATTATAAACATATATTGGTTGGGTTTGAAATTGTCTGGCAATTTGACATTACATAATCTAACAGGTTTAGATAAGAAAAAAAAATTAATTTAAAAAATTGCATGTGAGTGGCATTGATTCGTTAAAACATCTTTATATATATTCATCTCCCTTTTTTTGTTTACATATTTAGTTTAGTGCTTGTCATTTCTCTTTATTCTTTATGCCCATAATTCACTAATGAGGAATTTTATTATTATGCTTCTAATGATGTACCATGTGCGTGCACACATGTTTATGTTTCGTGGGGAGCTCTACTTTTTAATATATAGTGTTTAATTATCAAATTGAGAAATAATATAAGCTAGTAGGAGAACGAGTATAAGCAAATTAAATAATTAGATAAGTGAATAAAATATTGACAGTTTAAAACTCTATGAAAACTTCTTTTTAGTTCTATAATGTTTTAGCTAGATAGAGGTATATATTTTTATCTTAATTTTATTGACATATTAAGATGAGGTTAAATGTTAAATAGTTATGAAATAATAATTAAATAAGTTTTGTATTTTGTTCATCACAAAATAAGTGTTATCTTAGTAAAAATCACATTCATCAAGAAATCAATAAAGGCCATGTATAGTTTACTAGACTATGTCTCTTGAAAATTGAACATTATTACAAAGATGTTGTACGTCAGGGTTATAATTGAAAAAACCTATCAATTTTTTCTTGAATTTCTAAGATGACACTTATTTTAGGACAATTTATTATTTATTAAGACGACGCTTAAAATTTTGGGACAGAGGGAGTATTAATTAAGGCTTGAAAAGTGGATTTTTGACATTTCTCCCAAAAAAATTCTAGACTAGTCATCAAATTCAGTATTAGCAAAGATTTTAGGTTTGAGTCTCACTCACCACCTCTGACCTTATGAATGTGGGTTCTAGTCATCAAAGTCAGTATTATCAAAGGTCTTAGGTTCAAGTCCTTGAGTCACCTTTGTTTGGAAGGTCTTATAAAATGCAGGGTTCACTTATGATTAACTTGAGCTAATGGTTCAAACACATGTACTTCACCAACATTATGTTATAACTTAATCAAATAATTGAACAAATTGGGTTGTTCTTCCCTATGCTATCTAATAGTAGTAGCTGAACATCAGACAAACTTACTGGAAAAACAAGCAAACTGTTCTAAATCTTAACAATTACTATCATTATATAACAATTAGTACAAATGTTACCATTTTCTTTTCTCTCCTACTAGTATTCAAAGACATTTTTTCCCCTTCTAACATACCTAGCCTTCTGTGTGTGAAAAAATTGAAATGAAGGTTATTCGACGACGAATTACGTATGCATCATTTACATATTAACCATAGGTACATTGCACTGAGCAAGAAACAAGTAAGCCAACGAATGAATCGTTGATTCAAACAGGCGAGCTTGGTTGCGCATCTGAGCTCTGACCTTGATGTTTCTTGCTGTCAATACTCTTCCTCTTGAGTATATCCTTAATTTCACTTTCTCTTCTGTCAACAAAGGTTATTAAGTCCCTAAAGCTCACAGAGCGTAGTGTACGCCTACTAGGACGTACAGATTCAGGTTCACTGATCTCTTGGTCTTCTGGCTCGGGGTCATACCTCCGGAATTGACAGTATACCCTGCAGAAAAATGCAACAAGAGCAAGAAAACAAGCAACAGCACATATGAGAAATAGGCCCCAGAAGCTTTTGAGTGAAAGTTGAGTATCATCATCTTGGTTGCTTTGTGAAGAGTATCCCTTATTAGAGAACCATTTGTCATGGATCCTTTGGAGTTCGCCGTTTTCTGACAGTTGAAGGATTGCAGTTGATAGATCAACAGCCAGAGGAGAGTCCCTTTGAAATGCCTGATCATGGATAGTGAAGATCAGCTCGAATAGGTTGGATTGCGTGTGCATATACAACAACAACGATAACAACAAACCTAGTGTAATCCCACAAGTGGGGTATGGGGAGGGTAGAGTGTACGCAGACCTTACCCCTACCTTGGAAGGCAGAGAGGCTGTTTCCGATAGGCAACTTGATGTCTGTTCAGTAATGCAAAGGAAAAGATTAACTTACAAAGCCCCATCCGCCTTTCGTGAACTCTTGTCCTACTATCCTGAATACGCATTTGCTGTTGGATAAGAAGAGCTCAACATAAGGACGCTCATCCACAATGCCAGCAACGCCACCACCTTGCGGACCTTTCTCCAGGGCACTGGTATATTCATCTTCTGTTTTCAATATACGGATCCGTGATTCTAAAACACCTAGCTCTTCAATGAGGTAGTTATAGGCAAATGAGCCATCCTGAACTCCAATTGGATCAGAACTAGAAATTAAACTGTCAATTCCTTGAATTCCTGATGACAGCTGCCTCACTGTCAGGATAGATGTCAAGCTAGCTGTATAGCTCGAATTGATGATTAGAACGACAAAGAGCCAAAAGATCAGCACTAAGCGTCCCAAGGTGCTCATTGTGTTTTCTCCTATTAGTTCACACAAGGAACAGTGTCAGCTATGCTAGGACAAGCTGTCTGTCACAATATGGAAGATCTTAAAAAAAACAAATCAAAGAGGATGTACGTACTGTGTGCGAAAAACATTGTTGAGAAACTAAACCTGAAAGAGAAAACCGAATCTTAGCACCAGTGTCAACTATGTTATGATTGAATGCAAATGTTCTTAATAATAAATTCTCTATTTATCTCCAAAGCCGTTGTTTAGACTTGTAATTCCAAATAGATGAATTGAAAATGCAGCCAGCACTTGTTCCACGTCAAGGCACTTCCTTCCAGAACATTCAGTGATGCAAAGTTTCACATAAAGCATGCATTTGATTCTACAACAAGAGGTTATTAGATTGATTTACTAACCAAAAAACTGTAACAAGTTGGTGCCTTGGCGAACCACGGAATTCAGGATTATGTCGATGCTCAAGAATCCAAACGACAGTTCCAACAAAGAGAAAGAAGACCCCAGTTACGCACCACATTTGGAGGGTAAATGGCCGAAGGAAAGCCCATGGACTGGATTTCAGCTCTTTGATAGGAGCAACTACGACGAGTCCAGATTCCATGTAAGGTTGTGTGAAGTCCACAATCCTTGTACGGTTTGTAGTAATCGTGACATCTCCAACAGCTGCATCATATTTCTAAGATGCAAAATGTATCCTTATATAAGTAACCATGAAAAATGTTTCAGCATCACATTCAAAATTAATTAGTATTCCTATTGTGGTAACTAGTAAACAAATGTAAATTAAAGAAATATTAAGTCAGTCTGATCAAATTATATCATCATAATTAGTCAATGAAAAAAATGGATAACACAATCAAGAACTCACATTTGCGACAACGTCATTCACCAAATTTTTGAAAGAGGGGTTTCTCTTGCCATCTCCATACAGAATATAGACATGAGGAACGGCGTAAGGCAACAAATCTATGGCAGCCTCAAAAACATCAATGCAATATCCTTTTACCCCAGAAGGTCCTTTATCTTTATGCACAAACTCTTTAAAAGTAACACGGTAAGGCACGGCAATTCGCAGAGGCTTTCCATTATGTGGGAA